CTGAGCCTGGCATGGTACAGTCCCTGTAGTGTCTTGAAGGATGAAATCACACCATTTCCCAGAAGTTCAGACTGACTGCATTTGATGCGAGCAAGACAATGGTGCTGACACCGGACCAACGTGCGCTCACCTAGCAATGATCAAGATTCAAGATCAAGGTTTGTTTTTACATGTTTTTACTGAATCGATGATGTTTGATGTGGCAAACGGAAAGTGGACGTTTCCATCTATGGAGAATTCGATGCATTTGAGCCGCACAGTGCATGAATTGCAGTGATGACAACGTGTCTTTTGGAATTCCTCGTTTCGCTTAGGGTTCTTAACCTGATGGCGATGTTTGACACAATGTCTGGACCGCTGAGCAAGCACCACGTTGCACAAAGAGAGGTTGTGGCGTCTTTTTTCTTCAATCTTTCCTGTGAGGATTGAGGAGAAATAGGTCAGAAACTGATTGGTTCTGATGTTTTCATCTCCCACTGAGGTCCCTTTTTCTTTGGGTTTGGCTTTGATGCTCTCTGGTGACTCTACTGCTAGGTCAAGCTACAAAACATGTTGCCAATGAAGATTTGGAGAACCGGTCAGAAACTTGAAACTGATCTTCTGTGATGATCGTCTCTCCGACTGAGGCAAGTACCTTCTTGGCATGCTTCTACTATAAACTGCGAAATTCATTGATGGTATGATGCAGACTTTCAAAACAACTATCCCTAGCTGAGAACCTGATGTTGCTCAATTTTTCACCTCTGACAGCTGACCAACTGTTGCCAACTGAGTGAGTCTTGGGCTTTGTTTGGCCTGAGCCTGGCATGGTACAGTCCCTGTAGTGTCTTGAAGGATGAAATCACACCATTTCCCAGAAGTTCAGACTGACTGCATTTGATGCGAGCAAGACAATGGTGCTGACACCGGACCAACGTGCGCTCACCTAGCAATGATCAAGATCAAGGTTTGTTTTTACATGTTTTTACTGGTTTGATGATGTTTGATGTGGCAAACGGAACGTGGACGTTTCCATCTATGGAGAATTCAATGCATTTGAGCCGCACAGTGCAGGAATTGCAGTGATGACAACGTGTCTTTTGGAATTCCTCGTTTCGCTTAGGGTTCTTAACCTGATGGCGATGTTTGACACAATGTCTGGACCGCTGAGCAAGCACCACGTTGCACAAAGAGAGGCTGTGGCAGCTTTGTTCGCCAATCTTTCCTGTGAGGATTGAGGAGAAATAGGTCAGAAACTGATTGGTTCTGATGTTTTCATCTCCCACTGAGGTCCCTTTTTCTTTGGGTTTGGCTTTGATGCTCTCTGGTGACTCTACTGCTAGGTCAAGCTACAAAACATGTTGCCAATGAAGATTTGGAGAACCGGTCAGAAACTTGAAACTGATCTTCTGTGATGATCGTCTCTCCGACTGAGGCAAGTACCTTCTTGGCATGCTTCTACTATAAACTGCGAAATTCATTGATGGTATGATGCAGACTTTCAAAACAACTATCCCTAGCTGAGAACCTGATGTTGCTCAATTTTTCACCTCTGACAGCTGACCAACTGTTGCCAACTGAGTGAGTCTTGGGCTTTGTTTGGCCTGAGCCTGGCATGGTACAGTCCCTGTAGTGTCTTGAAGGATGAAATCACACCATTTCCCAGAAGTTCAGACTGACTGCATTTGATGCGAGCAAGACAATGGTGCTGACACCGGACCAACGTGCGCTCACCTAGCAATGATCAAGATTCAAGATCAAGGTTTGTTTTTACATGTTTTTACTGGTTTGATGATGTTTGATGTGGCAAACGGAAAGTGGACGTTTCCATCTATGGAGAATTCAATGCATTTGAGCCGCACAGTGCAGGAATTGCAGTGATGACAACGTGTCTTTTGGAATTCCTCGTTTCGCTTAAGGCTTAGGGTTCTTAACCTGATGGCGATGTTTGACACAATGTCTGGACCGCTGAGCAAGCACCACGTTGCACAAAGAGAGGCTGTGGCAGCTTTGTTCGCCAATCTTTCCTGTGAGGATTGAGGAGAAATAGGTCAGAAACTGATTGGTTCTGATGTTTTCATCTCCCACTGAGGTCCCTTTTTCTTTGGGTTTGGCTTTGATGCTCTCTGGTGACTCTACTGCTAGGTCAAGCTACAAAACATGTTGCCAATGAAGATTTGGAGAACCGGTCAGAAACTTGAAACTGATCTTCTGTGATGATCGTCTCTCCGACTGAGGCAAGTACCTTCTTGGCATGCTTCTACTATAAACTGCGAAATTCATTGATGGTATGATGCAGACTTTCAAAACAACTATCCCTAGCTGAGAACCTGATGTTGCTCAATTTTGTGTGTCTACTTGGTGCTGCTAAAATTTGGTTGGTACACCTTGGTGCCAAGCATCAACCATCTACCAGAAATGAGTGGTATACAGATGTATACAGATGTATAAAGACTATAGAGTCCTTCCAAGACTGCAGGGTTAGGCTGGGGGCATTGGCTTTACCACATGAGAAATCATGAGAAGATTTTTCAGCACACCGGGCACTTTTTTTCTCAGCAGTGGGAACATCTGCAGCGTCGCTGGAGATGAAAAAAAGGGAACCCGATATGACGACTTGTCACTTCTACATGTGGAGAATGCCCGGAACTCTGGGATGGGAACCTCCTTGCGGGATTTTGCAATTTGAGCTACAAGATATCTCCAAGAACGCTGGACATATGATTTTGCTGAGCTGTATCTCATTATATCAAGTCGTATACGAATTTAGCGAATTCAAGTTATGTGCTGTTATATCAAATGAAGGTTTCCATAAATGGGGTACCCCAAAACGGATGGTTTATAGTGGAACATCCCATTAACATGGATGATTTAGGGGTGCCCCCCATTTCAGGAAACCTCCAAATATGTGTTCAAGTCACCTATATCAACGTATGCTCATTTCGCATCCCCAACCAACTTGCCAAGTTTCATCAAGTCATGTACGCCATGGTCAAAACATGAAGGGTTATGCCTATGCTCCAAACACATACATTTCATATCAGTCCTCTATATGTGAAATATACATATCTGGGTAAATTTCATCACAACCTCACTGTTCTCCCTCACTGGATTTTGCAGGTTAGTAATATGGGACTCATCATGAATCATCCCAGTAGTTAGCCTTATTTCAGATTAGTGTATTATACCCTCTGGTAAACTAACATAGCTATTGAAAATGGCCATTTATAGTGGATTTTCCCATTAAAAATGGTGATTTTCCATAGCTATGTTAAATTACCAGAGGGTAATTTACCCAGACATTAATATACCATATACAAAGATTATCCAATGCACACCCAATCAAACATACATCATAATCTCATATTAACAGCAATGATCATGATGATGATTATAATATATAATAATATATACAGGTACTGTGGATTTTGCATAAATCCTGCACCACCCAAAGGATGGTTGAATCGTTGAACTTCTATAGACAAACATCTATAAAGCACTTATCAACTGGTGCAGGAGGCATCGCAACCACAGCTGATCCCCTTCCCTCAGCGCTATGGGCTGCGGCTCTTCCACGGAGAAATATGCCACCAGCGACTACGGGCAGTATCTGGCGAAGGCGGCAGCTGAGGAGGTGCCATGCCGGGTTTCCATCAATGGGGGGTAGCCCAACGGCTGGATGGCTTAGAAGGGAAACTCCTATGAAAAATGGATGATTTATAGCAACTTAGCTAACATTAAAGTGTGTCTACATTCCGCTTTTTGCCAATTTCCCATGTCTTTTTTGGTTGTTAATGGTGGTTTTTGGTGATGTCTGAACAGGAATGTCGGGATTAACCCTGGATTGGTACTTTCATGCACCGCAATGTATGTTTCGCTCTCAATGGGATGTGGGTATGTATATATGCATCAAAGCAGCGCAAAATATGTTTCCTGCAGAGCATCGAAGCATGGCAAGGGCCTTGGAAACAAGAAGAGCGGATCCCATTGAAATCCCATTGAAATCCCAGAAATATATAGAAAATTATAGAAATATCCCGTTAAAATCCGGTTTGATCCCACCGTAAAATCCTATGAATATCCCATGAAATGAGCATTTTGATTGGTTCAACCCCATGAAGTCCCCATTTGTTGATGGTGCATCCCTGACCCTCCAGGCTAGACAGGCTGCCAGCGATGCCGCGGAAGGGGTGACCCAGGTGACCCAGGCAGAGATAAGACGGGGAGAGCTGGGGCAAGCGTTGGAAAAATATGGAAATACCGTGGAAACAGGATGGGGCCCCACTGCACTGGTTAATAGCCATCTGAGCAAACTGAGAGATGACCAACAACTCAGATTTTCGAAATTGAAACGTATGGAAAGTATTTGTCAGTATTTGAAAGTATATCATAGTGTGGCCGCGCCTCATGCTGAATCTCGTGGAACTCAGTTCCTGGAATTTTTTATTCCAACACTATTACAATATGCAATGATTGCAATGTTCACATCCAAATTTGTGGCTATTCACCGGGTGCGGTGTGTTCTCTACTTGTGGCAGAAGAACTGACATGGGGCTGAAGGTATTTGGAGATTTCAGTCTGTGGCTAACTTGCATCTCTCATTTCCGGGTTTCCGGTTGGGAGATTACAGATAACATTTAGTATGTCTCTGTATATATCAAATTCTATATCTTATATAACTTAGATAGATATTTAGTCAGGGACCGATTCACTGCACACCTTGAACTCGCAATGCGATGCTGCCACGCGCCCAAGCCATGCCGGTGTCCGGCCCGAGCCATGACCGTGAGGACCGAGAGCTCTGCAGCAGCGCCAGATGAGTTTTTGATGCCCGGATGTTGAGGGATGAGTTCTTGATGCTATTCAAGGTATTTCAAGGTCGGAAAGCCATGGAAACACCGCGAGTCTGCCGTCTTGAGATGGTTTTAAGTCTTCACCATTCAAAATCTGAAGCCTTTTGGCCCAAATTTACAGTTCATAAGTTTGTAGTGGAGCCGATCTTATTTGCAACATGCCGTTGACCAATATTTGTGCCATGTTCCTTTGGTGCCTCTTTGGTGCCGATGCGGTGCCATCTGGTGGGCATTGCATGGAGGAGAACGTACTCATGCAGATGGTGAGCCTCCAGCCGAACGTGCGCAGCCGTGCGGGCAGATTCCGCCGCTTCCGCCGCTTCCGCCGCTTCGGCCGCTTCGGTGCGAAGACAACCAGCACTGAGAGCAGCACGACGCAAGAAACGACCACCAGCATTGAGACCACAACAACAATGCAAGAAACGACCACCAGCATTGGGACCACAACAACAATGCAAGAAACGACCACCAGCATTGGGACCACAACAATGCAAGAAACGACCACCAGCATTGGGACCACAACAACAATGCAAGAAACGACCACCAGCATTGGGACCACAACAACAATGCAAGAAACGACCACCAGCATTGAGACCACAACAACAATGCAAGAAACGACCACCAGCATTGAGAGCACAACAACAATGCAAGAAACGACCACCAGCATTGAGAGCACAACAGCAATGCAAGAAACGACCGCCACCACCACCAGGGTGGTATGCACTGGTGGCACTTCGGGAGGTTCTGAAGTGGCTCTCACCAAAATCATTGATACCAGCCGGCCCCAAAATATGTTCACATTCAATGTAAATGTGACATCCCCAGAATGTGAATGCGTGGGCAGTCCTGTTTTCTGGTCCATACCCGGCTTCCTTCGTGTTGATGTGATCGGTGTTCAGGATGCGAATAGTGTATCTTTCATCAGCATCACAAGTCCCAATGACACAGATGTGAAAGTAGCACCATTTCGCTCTGGGACGCTTCTCACGGCCGGGACCGTGGCATTCAACGGCTTCCCAGCAAATGGCAGCTGGGTTATTAAATTGCTGGATGCCAGCGGCAACCTTTCAACCCAAACGGGCTCCACCTTTACAATCCAGTTTGGGCTTATCAGCTGCAGGCAGGTTTTGCCAACACCTGATTGTGTTGGCAATTCTTTTGGTGGGCGGGTGTGGGTTGCCCAGAATGCCTCACTAGTGGGCACGACTCTTTCTCCTAGCCCCACCCTCCTCCACTTTGATGTGGAGGCGAGCAGTGCCTGCTGCGTCGTCAGTGGTTTTGTGCAGCTTAGACTTGAATTCAACGCCGTTTCAAGTCCAAGTGGAATAAGAACCTTGACCGCTGCTGGTCTGAGCCCAGATGCCATTCCATTCTATTTGAGAACTGATTTGTTCGACATTTACCTGCGGGGGACCTGGGTCACTCGTGGGGTTGCACATGTGGCCGCATTTGGAGGTCGAGCCGCTGGGCTGTGGACCCTAAGCACGTCCACAGATGGTCCTTATACGGCGGTCATCAACAGCCTCGGCTGGACTCCGCAGCTTCAGGTAGGCGTGGGGGATTGCCCCTAGGGACAGCCAAGGACAAACGTCTCTTGCCCTGACAGCTGGAGCCTTCCTAGCTGAAGGATAGCCTTAGGACAAACACCTGAGCTCTCGCGGCTGGGAAAAACAGGATTGTGTGTTTTCTGTTTTCAGTGATTCTTTGCTTTTGAAGAGGAGTTTGGATAAAGAAGAGCCGTTGGAAAGCAACAGCTGCAATTCCATCACCGTGGCCATCAGAATTCATGAGATAGGATATATGAATGTATATATATAATTATATATATATAAATATCTTTATATAATATTTATACATATTTGATATACAGATATATATATATATATATGTAAATGTATCAAAAACATCATAGGAATTGAGACACTCCCCCTGGGGAACGTGCAGAACGCCCACTCCGTCAGGAGCTGCGAACTCGAGACCCATGGGGCTTTGCCATGGCTGTTGGATGAAAAAGCATTCAGGGTGCAACGTCGCAACGCGTTGCAACGGGCACAGCATCGATATCATCAGTCATGGGGTGCTAAAAGCAGGGTGAAATGTTTGGTTTTCACTGACATGTTAATTTTGAAGAAAGAAACATGTATGTGATCCATCCTGATCCCATTTTCTGTTCGAAAAACGCATCTCGTGGTTAGGGTGGAAGCACTAAACAACTTCGCTGAGGGAAACCGTTTTGTGTTGTGTGGTGCAAGCAATTGCAAGCGCAAGGAATGACTCCTTCAGAGTCTGCTGCAAGAGGTCATCTTGCAGCTCGTGATTCTGACTTGTGCCGTTTACTAGAACTATGGCTCTCAGTTCAGTACAACGCAAACCATGCCAAAGTATCACAGACATCACAAAACATCACTAGACATCACAGGAGGTTGTGGGAATGACAGGGCCCACCTGAAGTTAAATAAGTTGGTTTACAACTATAACAACAATAGTGTATGATACTTGTAATTATATATATTTAAATGGCGTTATAAAGCAACTTATAACTGGGGGGCAGCATCCTGTATGGATGAGTATTTGAAATATATGGGACTCATATTAATGGATTCATAATATGTAGATGGTGGGTTCATATTGATTAATATGGCTTAGTATATGGAAACATAGGGATATATATATATATATACTGTATATACTGTGGATGGTTTTTCGAATTCCTGCACAGTTGGTCGATGATGGATCTCATCTGGTTGGTGGTTTGGAACATGGCGTTTTTGACTTTCCATATATTGGCAATAGTAATCCCAAGTGACGAACTCATATTTTTCAGAGGGGTTGAAACCACCAACCAGTCATAATCAGCTCATTATTTTGCAGTGTTTCATAGTTACCGCGAGTTACTATCTGGTGCAGCTTTTTCACCACAATATCAGCGGAAATGTGTGGATTAAAATAGGTATATGTGGGAATGCATACGTAGATGAAGAAATAGATGCATATATTTTATGCATGTTCATTCTTATTATCACATGCAATGCACATTCGTATTTCAATACAAACACCCACACATATATAATCATATATATATACATACATGTACTGTATATATATATATATACACAGTATATATATATACAGTACATATATATATACACATACATACACATTACTCACATGCTTTACATATACAATATTTATGTCAGTGTGTAGTCCAATGCGGGCGTCGTCAACTCCAGGCCTCCCCCTCCACGGTGGCACCCTCGCCGGTGAGCTCTCCGCACGGAGCGCATGGAGGGAACGAGGTGGCGCGAGAGAAATTGCAGCAGGCGCGTTTTACGGAGCTGTGGAGATTTACTATGGGCTATAGCCACTAATGTTATGTTCACCAAACCATAGCTTATTCTTATTTTTTAAAACTTGAAAAAAGCGCGAAAAATGCAAAAAAAATGGAAAAACCAAAAAGCAAATCAGCAAAATCCAAAAAACACAAAAGCAAAATAAAAGGGAAAAAAAGGGAAAAAAAGGAAAGACAAAAAGCAAAAAAAAAGGAAAAAAATGGACTTGTCCATTTGCATTTTTTTTGCATTTATTTTGCTTTTTCGATTTGCTTTTCTGTTGCTTTTGTGTTGCTTTTATTTTGTTTTTTTTGCTTTTTTCCAGCAAAATGCAAATGGACAAGTCCATTTTTTTCCAATTTTTCCCCCTTTTTGACGTTCCTTTTTTTCCCATTTATTTTGCTTCCTGTTTTTTCGGTTTTGAAGTTTTGCTTTTTGATTTTCCATGTGTTTTCCTTTTTTTTTTGCATTTTTTCAAGTTTAAAAAAACATTAGAATAAACTATAGAGGTGGACATAACACTAATGTCAACACTGGATTAATAAACCATGGTTTATTAATTAGGGGGGTACTCCTCCAATAGTCATAATCCAATACTTAAATGGTATCCTCCCAATTAAACAGCCTAAGGATGCCTAGGGGTTTATTTATTCAGGGTTGACATTATATGACTATATGAATACTATATGTATATTACAGTGTGTATATATGCTTTGGAACATGAATTTCATTTTTTCAGATATTGGGAAGTTCATCATCCCAACTGACGAACTCACTCCATGATTTTTCAGAGGGGTAGGTATACATATACATACATATATACCATCATGGGGATATAACCTGATATGATAGGATCATGGGATAGTATATGGCAGCCGGGGGATGGAATGGGATGGCTATGGCGTGGAGGGACATTTCCATCAAAGGAGAAAATCGGATGAGAAAAATGGAGGGAAATTGGTCCAAGAATGGGGAAGAAGTATGAACAAGTGGTGTTTCATGGCAACAAGTTGGAGTTTCAGATGATTTGAGATGAATTTTGGGATTTGAGCAACAAAAAGGATGGAATTTAAGAGGAGCAACATCTGAGGGAGTTGTAGGTGAAAACACGAAGATTTGGACAACGGGTGTTGAACCACAAAAACATGGAGATGAATTCAGCCAAACATGGGGAGACCAGCAAAACATCACCGTTTTAAGAGTTGACTGACCAAAATGAGTGGAGGGGGTTGCAGGGATGGATACTGGTTGGTGGTTTGGAACATGAATTTTATGACTTTCCCATCATATTGGGAAGTTCATCACCTATAAACTATAAACCATAGTTATTGCCAATAACAAACCAACTATAGTTATATATACATATATATTTAACCAGGATAAGTCACAGTGAGGTCACGTTCACAGCAGCCGTTGCTGCTGAGGCGCTGCGGTTCCGGAAGAAATATCTGCAGCAAGCGGATCCGCAGAGAGCGCGCGCGACTTCGGAGGACGTCATGACGGGCAAGGCCTTCGGATGGGAGCGGATGGGGACAGCCGGAGTATGGCAATTGTAACCATGGTATTTACCCTCTGGTAAACTAACATAGCTATTGGAAATCACCATTTTTAATGGGAAAACTCACTATAAATGGCCATTTTCAATAGCTATGTTAAATTACCAGAGGGTAACATAGCCATTATTTTACCATTAATAACCAGATGGGATTTCTTCATTTTCATAGCCATCTCGGAGTAATTGAAAATGATGATACCATCTGGTTATGACTAACATAGCCATGGAAAATCCATCCCTTTTTAATAGGTAAACCATGGTAAACCATCTATTTCTATGGGCCATGGCTTCCATGGCGAACTGTTAGTCATAACCAGATGATACTCCATGGGACATGATACTCCATGGGACATGGATGTAGCCGCTTTTTGGCCGAAAAATGCAGAGATTTTTTTTAGACGAAGCCTGATGAATTCAGTGCGGAATTCAACATGGGTTGCAAATGATGCAGAAACAGGGAAAATCTACAGGAAGTTCTATGGGTTTTCCCATGTATGGCTGTATGTGTGTTTCCTGTAAATTTTCCTTCAAACCAATCCATTGAGAGAAGCATGATGTTGGATTGGGATGTTGGGAATTCTTGGGCTTGGCCACGGATGACTTTGGGTCCAAAAACAGCTACCTACCCAATGACCTAGTCCCCAGACTTGTAATGGTCCTGGTGCTACGCGTCGGTGGTTTTTCCACATCGACATGTCAATTTGTCACAACTACATCTGCATGTTGGACCTCCAAAGGCATTCTTTGTACGGATCCCCCAGCAGTCAGAGCAGTTTCCTGGTCATTTTTCTATCCATAGTCATCCCGGAGTAGAATCTGGACTGGTATCGAAATTTCTCAGAAAAATGGGAAGTTCTTGCAAACTGGTTGCTGGTTTGGAACATGAATTTTATTTTCCATATGTTGGGAGGTTCATCATCCCAACTGACGAACTTATATTTTTCAGAGATTTATCTACTTCAGGGCTGCCTTTTCGCCTTTTCGGGTCCAGCGGTCCGCGATCTCACGGTCGCAGGTGATGGTCATGGTGGATGGTGTTGCTGAGGTGGACTGGGGACGGACTAATTGAGCAGAAAAGGAATGATATGGATGATTCATAGAACATGAATGATGATGGCAGAACAGTTCAATTTCGCAGTTTTTCTGATAACAGAACTATATATTATTATTGTTCTCTATATATTGACGGGCAAGTACTTTCCACATTGTGTATTCTTGCACGATTTGAAGCAGGTCGGAATCTCCCTCATAGAGCCAAACCCAGCAACAAGCGCCTGTCGTTTTGTGGCACTGACCTTCTCTAATGTTTGTGAAAATCGATCTCCCAATCTGTGTTTAGAACCCCCCTAACAGGTATCCTTATCTGGTTGGTGGTTTGGAACATTTTTTATTTTTCCATTTCATTTATGGGAATGTCATCATCCCAACTGACGAACTCACTCCATGATTTTTCAGAGGGGTAGGTCTACCACCAACCAGATAGATAGATAGATATATATATATATATATTGGTGTTCTCTGAATGTGTTTGTAAAGATGTAGGTTTTGGGGACAAGAGGCCGACGATGTCTATTGCTGCTCAAGCTTTTAAGGGGATCCTCGTGCCATGGGCTTGCCATTTTGGGCTTTCTTTGTGGCTGGTGCGGTGACTGGGCAAATTCTTGTGATAGTCCCCTTAGCTGGCTGGTTGCATTGGGCTCATCCATCTAATTCTGGCATTGAGGTGGCAGTGGCTCGTGCGGTGTCAGAGACCCTTCGTATTTGTTTAGGGGTTGAATCTAC